ACTAACGTGACGTTTAGGCGGTTCCTTTAACTATTATACGTGATGTACGTTATTTTGGGGGGTGATTAATGAAAGTGTTCCAAAACGCAGAATTAATTTCTTGACGACCTAATATTTGTAATCAACTGTTTTCTTATTGAAATCGGTAAAATTACACGTTTGAGCAGGTAATTATATATATATATATATCCAGCGAAATTATAAACTTTTTATAACTTTATTGAAATTAACACTGCAGTATACACCGTAAAGTAATAAGTTTGCACTAAAAAATTCTCTGTTTAATTTGTGTCTTGAAATTGAAGTCGGTTAAAATGGAGCAACGTGATTATGTTCGTGTTATTTTCATCAACAATGTAAAACAAAAACAAAGTTCCAACACTAAAATGGAACTTTGAGGAAAATTTGTACCACGCTCGAAGAGAATAATCAAACTTTGATCTTGAATGTTCAAACATCTTATGACCATACTTGTACCATCAAAAGAGCTCAAACGAAAGAAGGCTGGGTTCTGTTGTGCTCACAACTGCGGAAGGTATTTTAGCAGCTGTCGTTCAATTAATTAGTATATCTATTAGAAAACTTATAAAGCTTATGAAAGCTATACATTATAAAAATGAAAACAAGCTGAAAATTACACGTCGTTATTAGTGAAAACATGGAAGTATTGGAAAAGACCGCGAAACGAGAGATGCAAGTATTCTACATAATATTAACGAGGAAGGAAATCGTACACAGATATTACTACAGTGCAAATTCAAGATATTATAGAAAACAGCAAGCGGTTATAACATTAAAGTAAGAACATGTTTTTGTAATTTGTAAATTTGTTTTTTGTAATACTGATTAGACATTGGATGAAAATTATAGTAATGTAGAGTGTTAAAAAGTTAAGGTTTGTTTCTTTTTTTAATTATGCACAAAGCTACACAAGGGCTATCTGTGCTCTGCCCACCACGGGTATCGAAACCCGGTTTCTAGCGTTGTAAGTCCGCAGACGTACCGCTGTGCCACTGGGGGCAAAAGTTAAGGCAGTACTATTTTGAATACCTGTATATATATCTTGCAGCGCATAATTTGTAATCTTTAGGGTAGTTAAAATGTTGGTAAGAGCAAAAATTTAGAAGGTAAAAACCATACAAGCATACAAACACACACACACACACACATATATATATATAATGTATACATAGTCTTTGTTAGACAAAGTAAAATGAATATTGATCTTTAAAAATATGTAGAAAATTATAAAGAAAACCAATTTATTAACAATCACATATAACTATATACACTGTGAGTAACCGATCGTTCAGTTTTACAATCACCTGCGTCGTAATCGTGCCAGTCTCCTATTTGCAATATGACTCATCCATAGGAAAAAATTAAACGGTCGTCTTATGACAGATGGTAATATTTCACGCAGACTTTGCCTGGTAAAGAATTCATCATTTTCTCAGAACAATGCAAATAGTATAGCTATTTATTATTTCACTACGAAAGCACGAAATTTATGCTCGTAACAAATCATTTGAATCACAGGCTATTATTTCACGGTTTATGCTCGTCAGCTGCAATTAATTCGTATAATAAAGTTTTTCTCGAGAAATAAATTAGGGTAATATTATTATTCAAGAAATCATTTCTCTTTCTCTTGTTGATTTCTGCCCGTTGTATTGTTCAATAAACTCTCTGACTTTCGTTTGGCTCATCGGGCAAGCTTGAAAACTTATAATGCTAAAATTCAGGGTTCGATCCCTGTGGTGAGCACAGAGCAGATAGCCCATTACACAGCTTTACACTCGAACAACTAAACTAACTATATAAAATGTTCAGGTAAATTTTGTTTTATTGGACAATATATTCTTAATGTTGAAAGAAGTGTTGTCCTAAGTATGGCCAGCGATATTAAAAGTATATATATGAGTTGTAGCGCCTTAAATCTATACTAGGTAATTAGAGAGTACAACGCAAGTATGTCGCCATAACTTTTCTGTGTACGATTCTTGAATACAGAAGGATCAGCGTTCTGAGACTATTTGACGACCACGGTTTTAATCATGCAATATTTTACAAGCTTTATGTCTATATAACTAATTTTATGTACACATTATTGTTTTTTAAGTACCTTTAAAAGAAAGATTTTGACCTAATAATGGTCAATAGCTTCAAAAAAATAACAGATATTAATGTTTATTCTACTGTCTTTTTCACATACCAAAAGTCATGCGAAACGGGTAGTTATGAATAAAACATGTCTTTATTCCAAGAAATTAATACCGTGTTGGCCCGCCTTTGGCCTTAACGACTGCTTCAGTGCGTCGTGGAAGACTGTCTATTAATGTCTGGTATAAAGTTGGTAGTATTGTGCTCCACTCTTCCTTTAAAGCGTTATTAAGCTCCATTATTGAAGAGGGCCATCTCGGCCTTGCCCTAATTCTACGTTCCAGTTCATCCCAAAGATGTTCTATCGGGTTGAGATCGGCGCTCTGTGCTGGCCACTACAATATTCCGATGTTATTCTCTCCAAACCACGCGTTTACAATCCTTCCTTTGCGACATGGAGCGTTATCATGTTGGAAGGTGTAAGGGCCGGTACCAATGTAGGACACACAGAATTATTCAGAACACCAATGTAAGACTCAGCGTTCATGGATCCATGCACTGCGACCAGTGGATCTAGTCCATACACGAGAAGCATCCCAGCCCATGATACCGCCACCTCCAAACTTCACTGTTGGGGCAACACACTCAGGTAATAAGAGTTCTCCAGGCATCCTCCAAACCCAAACACATCCATCAGACTGGAAGAACGTGTAGCGTGACACGTCGCTCCACTGGACCGATTTCCATTAATCTACGGTCCAGGTTTGGTGTACCTTGTCTTATGCCAATCGACGATGTGCATTTGTTTTTGTTATCAACGGCTTATGGGCTGTCAGTCAGTATTTTACGTCTACCTGGTCGTTTCTTGGGCTCATTGTCGCCTGTGGACTTTCATTTCTTCAGCACGTTTCCAACTGTCGACATGGGAATGTCTAATTGTTGCGCAACAGCACGTACAGATATTTTCTCCAAATGACATCCAATTATCCTTTCCCCTCTGAAACTGTGTTAGCTCTTTCTGTGTACTCGTCATTCGGCGTACAAGTTCGAAATGACTTCAGAGCGAACCGCTGATCACCCTTATAGGCTAAACTATTTGCATATTTCGTCATAACATCCATTTTCCTGCAATCAGAGGTGTGTCTCATAGTTTCTGGTAGGAGAGCGTAATTAATCTAACATGGAGTTCGCCAGGGTTCATTTCTGAAATCAGTAACTCAGGTAGGCCTAAGAAAGCCGTGAGTCAGTAGCATTTCAGTTCATTAGCAAATTAAAGAGGTTATGAATATAAAGCTAAAGTGTCACGTTCGGCAGTTCTTGCAGAATTAGGTTGAATTTTCCGTGACAATCGAAATGCAGTTGAGGTTCAAAAGGGGGATTAGGTGTATACAATTTCGGTGACTATTATACATTCAAATATGCAGGGGGGTGCAGAATATGATAAATAATGAATTATTTTATCAGAACCCCTCCCCCCAGGGGCTCAGCGGTAAGTCTACAGGTCTACGACGTTAAAATTCGGGTTTCGATAGCCGTGGTGAGCAGAGCACAGATAGCCCATTGTGTAACTTTGCGTTTAAGAACAACGCAGGTATATTTATTACAGCTTACAACCTGGAGGTTATAGTTCGACTATTGCATTTACTAATGAATAAGTCAGAGTTTATATGAGAAAAAAAAATTTATTTAGCCAAATTACTAAACTGAAATCCGTTGGAAATCTACTTGGAGTAAAGTTTCATCATTTTATATAAAAAAAGTTTAAAGAAAATTGTAATAACGAATATGTGAATTGAGAAATACTAGATATATAT